CACAAAAAAAAAAAAACGCCTGGCTCTCAGGGCTGTCCTGCCCCCTCCCTGCCCTGGGTCCCGCTCTCAGGGCTGTCCTTCCCCCTCCCTGCCCTGGGTCCCGCTCTCAGGGCTGTCCTGCCCCCTCCCTGCTCTGGGTCCCGCTCTCTCTGGTGTTGCTGTCGTCAGGCCTGGAGCGAGGCGGGCTGTTTGCGCTGAGGCACTCGGTGATGTACAGCAGCCTCATCTGTCCAGTCTGGACCTCATCTCCAGTGTCCTGCAGAAACCACCCTCTCTCTCTTGAGCACTTTACTAGTAGAAAAAGCCTGTTCTAGCCTTTGAGGTCTGGGTCCAGGTCTCCATTGGAGGACATCACACTTGAGCGTTTTGTCACCCTGACGCCTGCCCCTTGGCCCACAGCAGCCTCTTGAAGTAGAGCAGGAAGAGTGGGCAGGCTGCCGAAGGGTTCCGGGCTCCTGTCCTCAGGGCCTGGCGGGGTCAACTGAGAGGATGCCAAGAGTACCTTCGATAGGCCTTCATCTTTTTTTGAAAAAAATGTAGCTGGAGACTTTTCTTTTTCCCAGATAAAATACATAAATTTATTAAAACTTCATTAAGTAGACGATATAAAATGCGAAGTACATCAAATGTTCCTTTTACCTTAGAGTTTATAAATATCAGGACCCGGGGCCAGCAGGTAGTGTGGTGGTTAAGGTGCTGGACTCTCACATGGCTGACTGCAGTTTGAGTCCCAGACCTGGTGACTTTCCCACTTTCCCCCTTTCTTGGTCTCCTTCTCTATTTTGTTGAATTAAAAAATAAGTAATTGGGAACCAGCAGTTAGCATAATGGCTATGTCGCTGGACTCCCACGTAGTCGACCACGGTTCGTGTCCCGGACCCGGTGGCTTAGAACTCACGCCGGGCGCGTGTGCGTGCGTGCCCAAGATCCCGAGAGGAGAATGGAGAAGAAGGGATTGCGGCGTGACCATCCCCCCTGGGGGGTGATTTCTCGCTTTCTGTCTCTATGTCTCTCTCTCTCTCTGTCTGGCGAGCGCACGCGCCCTATAGCAAAAACCTCTCCAAAAAAAAAAAAAAAACTAAAAAAAAAAAAAAGTAATAACAAATACAATTAAACAAATAATTAAAAATGTATATATACATAAGGGTTAACATGCCATAATAGTTATATCACTGGACTCCCCTGTAGCACACCATGATTCGAGTCCTGGACCCAACTTCTTAAAACTTACATTGGCCTGGGACCAGAAGTTGGCATAATGGCTATGTCGCTGGACTCCCATGTAGTTGACCACTGTTCGAGTCCCAGACCCAGTGGCTTAAACTCACGCCAGGCACATGTGCTTGCGTGCCCAAGATCCTGAGAGGAGAATGGAGGAGAAGGGATTGCAGCATGGCCATCCACCCGGGGGAAGATTTCTCACTTTCTGTCTCTGTTTCTGTTTTTTGGAGAGCACACACGCTCTATAGCAAAAACCTCTCCAAAAAAAAACTTACATTGGGCACGTATGCTTGGGTACCCAAAATCCCAAGAAAACAATGGAGGAAAAGGGATTGTGGCATGGCCGTCCCCTTTGAGGGTGATTTCTCACTTTCTGTCTCTTGGGCACATGCATGCGCACTATACCAAAAATAATCTCTCAAAAATATATATATATACATGTATATATGTAATAGGAGTTTACATTTAGTTTACTTTTTTTTTTTAGATTTTTTTTGGTCATAGACACATGCGTTCTCAGACAGAGACAGACATGGAGGGAA